GGAGAGCCTTAAAGATGAGACCCACCCAGGGAGGCCCCCAACTGCTGTTGTGCCAGAAACAGTTGCCGCTGTGGAGAAGATGCTAAGGCAAGATGGTCGGATGACTTATTCTATGATGCAGGATAGCGTAAAGATTGGATCAGCAGCATTGCACACAATTTTGCATGAAAACCTGCAAGTTCGGAAAGTGGCTGCCCGCTGGGTGCCACATTGCTTGTCAGATGAGCAAAAAGAGCAGCGCGTCAATTGGTGCCAGTTTATGCTGCAAACATTTAATGAAGGGGAGTCGAAAAGGGTTTATGACATTGTGACAGGCGATGAAAGTTGGGTTTACCAATTTGACCCGGAGACAAAGCGCCAATCCTCAATTTGGATCTTTCCAGGTGAAAACCCGCCGCAAAAATTTCGGCGATCCAGAAGCGTCGGCAAAAGAATGGTTGCGTCATTTTTCTCAAAGACGGGTCATGTCGCAACCATTCAAGTTGAAGACCGTCGTACAGTGAACACGGATTGGTATGTTAACCACTGCATACCACAGGTTCTAGAAATTTGGCGAAATAAACGTCCAACGACCGGCTTAAGAGGTCTACTTTGGCACCATGACAACGCTTCCGCTCACACAGCTGCTTTGACCATCGACTTTCTGTCCGAAAATTCAGTTCAGTTGATGACCCACCCGCCTTATTCACCTGATTTGGCACCTTGTGACTTCTTTCTCTTTCCAGCGGTGAAAGAGGAAATTCGCGGAACCAAGTTTGATAGCGCTGATGATGCAGTTAGTGCCTTCAACGAGGCTGTTTCTGACCTGGCTGCAGAAAAATAGGCCCATTGTTTTGATGTGTGGTTTTATCGTATGAGACTTTGTGTGGAAGCCAGTGGAGAGTATTTTGAGAAACTGTGAAAATTTGAACACGATACCTCTTGCGGTTTTTGAATATCTCAATAATTTTGGAGTGACCCTCGTATATGGATAGAAAAAGAAGTATTTAGAAAAAATTAATTGAAAATAGAATAACAAAACTCAATTTGCAAAGCCAGAATAACATAGAATAACACAAATCTTTACTTTGACGCTATCTGAATAGCTAGAGCTTTTCTAAGCGAAGACGGAACCAAGGGTCATACTTGCTTTCACAATTTTTGAAAATGCTAATTTACTTTTCTAGTGGCCTTTTTATGCTGAGCTGTTCAATTGAAACTGTTAAATGATACGATTTTTCACAACGATGATGATTGATAAATATTGACCATTCAAATATTATCGTTTCAAATGGGCGTGGTCAAATTTTTCACTTTTCGAGAAGGTCGCTGTTTCCCATGTTTGCTGCGCCGCCTACTTCTATTAAAACGTTACTCCCTTATTTCTTCAATATTTATCATGAAGAATCAAAAACAAGCTCTATTTGCTATTCATACGGTAACCTGAGCTCCGGATCCCAAGATAGGAGTTTTCATTACATAGTCACACCAAAAATCTATGCATTATGATTGTTTGTTGTGAATGGAGATAGGGTACATAGTTTTTGTGTAAGGGAGCGTGCTACAGTATTCGGTCGAATTGTGTCATGAGCTTTGCTTATGCCATAGACGTTGCAAATATTTCAAATTCAATTCGATTAAATTAAATTTTTTCCATAAACTGCAGCCTTATAATACAACTAAATTTTGGGGGAGGCAGGAAAGGTTCCTTTGTGAGATGAGAATATGTACTCTACTCCATGAGCTCACATTTCTGACAACTCATTCTGTGCAAAAGGTTCCTCCATCTATAGCGTACCGTACTCTTTAAGAGTAATTTATAAGTTTTGTAAAATGCTTTGGAAGGCTCTTTCACACAGTGCCAGCATAATCACAAGGAATACTTCCATATGTCACCAAAAGAGCCATTGTCATAAAACGTAAAACCATGAACATTTTGGGCACTGGTGACATGCTGCCTTGGTTGAAGTTAATTTAAGAATAAGTGTAGTTTTCTGTTGAGATTGCATAAAGTTTTTTAGAGGAAGGAAAATTTCGATTTATATTTACGTCAGGGTTATTGTTCTAGTATAAAGTTTGCAGGATATGCGGCTTCCGATCCATTTGCTTGCGTATTATATGTTTGTAATCAGACAAGGTATCACAAGAGATAAATAGTGGATGGAAGACGGGTCACTTGGCTTATAAATGCATTCATGCTCATTCATTTCCCAAGATCAGACAAAACAGTTATGTCGGCTGCAAACAAATAACCAAAAATGAATGACGTCATAACTGTATATGCATTGAATTACTGGCAGGAAAGGAAGCGTAATGAGAAATTTACATTAGGGTTACTGTTGCATTTAAAGGGCTCTTATCCTTTGTTTAAAAATTACATAATATCCATAGGCACTTAATTATTTAGCAGTGATAAGGTTTTCAAGATGAAGTCGAATTTTCTACCTATACCATTCAAAAAGGAGTTTGCGAAAGTTTGAAAGTCAAGCTGTTCTGTAAAGGAATCACAATTCTTACAATGTTTGCATTGTTATGTAGTTTCTATAATTTTGTATTCTGAATAAGGACTTTACATGACTAATCCAAGATGTTTATATAATATAAATTTAATGTACTTCTTCAAGCCAACAACTAGCAAAAAAAACTCGAAATTATCCAGCTTTATATCCACATGTCTCCGCTTTCCTGTGTTTGCAGTGTTTGCTCAGGCCAGCCGGCGGCGGAGGGCTAGGGAGCTATGGGACTGTGGGGCTGTGGCGCTGTAGCCCCCTCCCACTTTCTTGCTGACGTATGATCAAAGTTATGATGCCAAAGATAATAATGACTAACTATCATAGGAGTTTGCAGTCTCATTTAGAGCCACTTCAAAATGTTTTTCGGTGACCCTAATGCTGTAAGTACCAGCAAAGAGAAGTATGAGAATCTTAGGAGGCTGATTCCCCCAGTTTCCAAAACATTATTGAGTGAATTTTGGTAAAATGATAATATAAAATGAAATTCATTTTACAGATGATTACGCAAAGAAATGAAATTTAAATGAAATTTAATGCTGAGTTAGACTTAGATTAATAAGTCCCATAGGAGAAAATCCTTTCTCTTTTCGTATACATAATGGAGCAAAGAAAAGTTGTGCTGGGCTTCTCCGGTTGCATAAATAGGACCTAGAACTGCACCTTGTGGTACACCTTTCATCGATTGTCTCTGTGTACTGAGTATCAGTTCACTTTGGCACTCTGTTTTCTATTGACAAAGGTAGCCATGATTAATCTGAAGTAAACTTCTACTAAAACTATATGCATAAAATACTTAATGGTCAAGTCAATCGAAATCCTTACAAAAGATCCATCAGAAGTGCCCCTGTATAACCTTTTCTTCAAAGAACTCCATGTATTTTCATTAAGCATCATGTGTGCAGGCTATGTGCAATATCCTTTGCAAAAAGCATTAAGATATGCATTAGGTCTTAATTCTTTCACACACATTGAAATTACAGGTAGCAAATTTGTAGTTCTATGAATTTGCATTATGTAGAAAGCATTTCTAGTTAACTTGGGCAATATTTCACTCATTTTCAGATTGTCAAGAAGCAAGCTATCATAAAAACTGTTAATGACTAGAATTCGACGCTCCAAATTAAACATTTCAAAGTCTAGTAACGCCCACAGGGTAGGATCTTATCAGGCCGAGACTGTGTATTTGCACTCTCACTTTGTGCAAAGAGACCCTTTTGAATTCAACACCACATTCAAGTTGCATCATATTCATGATAAGTTTAGCTGGGCAATTTGCATTTGTCAAAAACTTGTATTTGTCAAGGAAATTTTAATTGGGTCACTGATATCATTGTTGCCAGACTCTCACTTACAGCAGGAAGATCAAGAGCACCAGTGAAACTGACAGCAACAATTGAATATATAATGATGAGTTGATATGTTGAACTAGTATCACATTTGACGTATGTGAGTTAGCATCAATGTGTAGTATGATGCACATAAACCTTTGCGATTAGACATCTTTATTATTTTCAGAAGAACATCCAAACGTTTTAAAGACGTTCTGACAAGAAGGTGAGGGAACAGTTTTTTAAAAAACTTCATAAGCAAATACATGACAAACCAAATCAAAATACATACCAACCCTAATAACATTGATTTTAAAGTGTCGCAATATAAACAGGCTAAGACTAGTTGTTAAACTTCAAGAAAACGTTGTATATGGCGAATTGAAAAAGGAGGTGTTTGCATACTAAATCAAGGCGAAAAGAGTGCAATTGCCTGTGCAAACAGTACGAGAGATATACGCTCGTATGTGCAATCCAACGATAAATATTTTTGAGAGGAATTGGATCACACACGGCTGTTAATACAATTGATGAGTTTCTTGTAAATATCAACTCTGTGACATATTCTGGCCGTCCGTTAACTCTGATTTGTTTGTAATTATTTATTGTTAACAAGCTAAACTTCGAATTTTGAAAGAGCGATGCAGAAGTGTAGACAAATTTAAACAGCTGTTAAGCAGCAGAGTTTGAGAAGCGTTTGCATAACTTCAAAATTTAGAGAAAAAGGCAGAATAGGGAATGCTACTCGGACTTTTTTCCTTGAGATTCTCAAACAGTACTATTTTGGTCTCATGAGCGAGCCCAATAGTTTCCACCAATGAGAATTCTTTTTGAATCACGTGAACGAAATCACATGTAGATAACCAAAAGAAGCACCGTGGAGAGCCTTTTGGTTTAAAGTTCAAACATTAGTGCAAATATCAACAAAATTCAGACCTCCAATGATTAACTGGAAAAACCAGAGTAAAGAAAATGATACTACGAAGTATTTACAATCTGAAATATAAGGGCTCAATATAACACAGTAATTAGCAAGTTGCACGACGAAAATTTTAATAAAAGTTGTTCAGCTGACACACATATTTACAAATCCTCAAATATGCAATTCGTAAACAAGATACCCCTGGCACACCCAAAGTAAGGGACAACAAAATGGCAGAACCCCCTGTGGACACTGTCTATAAAATGAAGTTGGCACTTGCAGTGTAGTCAGTTCCATTGAGAGGTAGAAGCGCATTTTTCCTCATATATTGGAAGCATCAGAACAGCAAAAATGATCGTAGCCAGTCTTGCATTCATCTTGCTTACAGCAACATTTTGTGTTGCATCCGAAGAAGAGGGTAGGTGACAGCGATGTTCGTTTGTCTAAGCTTAAAACGTATCAACTGAGCTTAAAATACCATGATTTTAAACAGGTAATATCTTCAAACTATGTTATGCTCGAGAATGTTCAAAGTTCGTTTTACACATCCTTAATCTCGAAAGAAAACTGTCAAGTGAAATATATAGTTATACAGAAATATATATATGTAAGTTCCATTTTAGTTTTTTGCCAAATGCAAAACGTTTCATTTTAGAGGCTTTATCTCTTACGTTAATGTTGTACCCTACTGACACTGTGTAAGGCATTTTGTGATTTATTTAATGAAATTTACTTGTAGCGGAGTTTTAATGTCACTTGAAATCGTTTTAGAGATGGAAGTTGGCATCGAGCTTGTTGGATGCTTTGCCGACGATGCAAATGACAGAGCCTTGCCCACCCTGTTTGAAAACGTGAGGGACAAGATCATCTGGTCCAACATGAACGAAACGGTGCGGATGTGTGCCGATGCAGCAGCCAATCACGATCCGCGTATGTTTTATTTTCAATATTGTTTGACGCTTCTTATGTTTGAAAATTCGTGCGATGAAGCCTATTCCAGATAAGCTCATTTAGAAATACCATATGATGGGAATCGTGTCGTTAATCAACCCCATTAACATGACCATTGTAAGGTATGGCCTCTTCCAAGCTTATATCTATTAACAACACAACAAATGCTTGCTTTACAGAACTGTGATTGTTCAGAACAGAACATATTTTTGCCCACTATACTAGCCAGGAATCGATTGCCTACATTTGAGAAGAAACTAATTGTGTTTAACCAAATCACAGTTGTATTAAACGACAGCACTGATTTTATGCAGCCTACATGTGGTTTGGTATTCAATTCTACGGAGAATGCTGGACTGGAGCTGACGCAGAGGTGACTTACAACAAATATGGTCCATCAACAAATTGCTGGAATGGTGTAGGAAAACACTTGACGAATGCCGTGTACAGATTTGTGATGAAAGGGTATGTATTTAGATGTATTGTTAAAAGTTAAAAGATTGGACAGCAAGAAGATATCGCTGATGACGAAGACTCCTGTAGCAATATTCACAACCGCAGTTTCGTTTACTGTATTTCCTCGACTAAATGCCAAGGGGCTATTATTAATTTCAGAACTTTTTAGGGACCCACTTTTGGAGTGGGGCGCCTATTGGCATGGGGCGCCTTTTTTAGGGAGCGGTTAATTACAACCTTCAAGAAATCAACTAAAAAAATCACTTAGTAATTTTGCATAAGGTACTGTTAGCCCAAAAAAAGGTGTGCCAAAACATGGATGTTACTGTTAAGGAATTCGAATGCACAAATAATGTTTACTTTCTCTGAATTAATTCAAAGTTTTGGTGTCGAATATAGGGGGAAGAGGGGACAATTGTAATGGCTTTTCATACTTTCAAGGGAGCAAATTTAATAAAAATGGTAATCTCGGCCGCCTTTGCAGAACTAAGATAAATACGCTAACTGAGGTAAACCATTAAAAAATTATAAATTTGGTGCTTATTTTCGAGAGGGGCACTCATTTTGAACTGTGGCTTCTTCAGGGGGCGCCTATTTGAGGGAGGACGTTAAATCAAGAAAATAAGGTATTCGATTCGTTAAGCCATTTCGATCAAAGGATAACATCCTAGCTAATCTATCAATCTCGAAAAGATAGCTAAGCTGCTTAATTGTATGGATTAGATGGATGAGACTCTTAGATGCTGCATATGTTTGTAAACACAACTACAACAGTCACATTTGTCTGAATTAACAACACACGATGTTGTGCGAGGTTGGCATTTGAATAATCAGTTTTGTAGCCGTATGTTTTTACTTAAGTACATCATTGCTACTGTTGGCATTCATTTTATATCGACATCTACCTTGAACTCTAAACAATTATTCTAATTCTTTTCATTCTTTTTCTTTTCCAGCAAATGAAGAGCGACACATCCATCATGGGTAATTAAAGAAGTAAACAAAAACTTTATGAAAAATGTGATTAAATACCTGATGAGGAATTGTGAAAGAATATGTAAAAATAATTCAGATTTTTCATATGATACATTACGACATAATTAACGAAAACACAGCAACTTGTGTCACTATTTCTACATCTTTTCTTATGATGAGATTAATCAAAGATCTTCGAAAACCAGGAAGCTGAAATTATGGGTAAACCTCTAAACAGTTTAATACTAATTTGAAATAAGTAACTTCTCCTAATTCTCGGCAAGTTTGCACTGTGTAACTGAAAAAAAATTATTTGATAGAATTAACACTGAAACACCTGTTCTTTCAGTAACTCTGAGAAACATTTTGAAGATTCGGGCACATTAGGGTGTATAACAAGATATTTCTGTTACATTCTTGGCCTTCCATAGCTAAATATGGCAAAAGAAAATTGGCACGTTTCTTTTCTCCTCTGCTTGTTCGTGTTAATACTCAAGAAACCACTGTTTGGACGGACTAAGAATACAATGACAAAGTTGCCTTGATCATAGGCGTAGAGGACCTGGGGGTGGAAGGCTAAAATCCCCTAATTCGGCAAAATTTATGGCATTTCAAGCCTCGTTCGGGCATTTCAATCTAAATAAAGCAATAACATTTCTATGCAAGAGCTATGCTAGGCCCCCCTAGAGTAAGAGCTATGCTAAGCCCCCTAGGGCAAGATCTATGCTTGGCCCCCAGGGCAAGATCTATGCTAGGCCCCTCAGGGCAAGATCTATGCTAGGCCCCCCAGAGCAAGATCTATGCTAGGCCCCCCAGGGAAAGATCTATGCTAGGCCCCCCAGAGCAAGATCTATGCTAGGCCCCCCAGGGCAAGATCTATGCTAGGCCCCCCAGAGCAAGATCTATGCTAGGCCCCCCAGAGCAAGATCTATGCTAGGCCCCCCAGAGCAAGATTTATGCTAGGCCCCCCAGGGCAAGATCTATGCTAGGCCCCCCAGAGCAAGATCTATGCTAGGCCCCCCAGGGAAAGATCTATGCTAGGCCCCCCAGGGCAAGATCTATGCTGGGCCCTCTAGGGCAGATCTATGCTAGGCCCCCCAGGGCAAGATCTATGCTGGGCCCTCTAGGGCAGATCTATGCTAAGCCCCCCAGGGCAAGATTTATGCTAGGCCCCCTAAAGCATCAGCTACCCCATCATTAATAGCAGCGGTATTGTTTAACAGTGGACATAAAGTACCTGGAACCTAGAGTAAAAACCTGCATGAAAAGTAACATGAGAGAGTGAAAGCAACTGCATTTCCAGTAATTTTTAGCGGAACGAGTTTTTAACTGCGATGCAATATCAACAAATAATCTTTCGAATAGATTTAAACGATGAGCAAGCGTAATTTTTTTTCAGCGAATAGCAAATACGATCGATAAGGTTGTGAACAGCCTACAATCCTCCGGCGCAAGGTGTAAGGCCTATCTGATAATGAAGCCTTTTGCTTTTCGTCCAGCTGTAAGAGTTATCAAATTTTACAACGTAAATGCCTTGTTTACTGCATGTGTAACAGCCATCTTCTGCAATTAGATGACTTTCTCTTTTGTCTAATGCAATTATTTCGTCCATTCGCCCGTTGCTTTGCCCTTCCTCTTTTCGATAAACTCCAAACCCAATGTCATACCCCTCAGTCCTAAAGTACCAATGAAGGATGCTCCCTGGCTCAGTAACTTTGTATTCAAGGTTGAACTCACACCCATGCTTGACCAAAGTATACTCGTAGCCATCATTTTCCATCTTTTCGTCATGAGAATAGTAGGACTTTGGAACCTCACCTCCATAACATACCTAAAAAATTAATTTCATTTCTCTAAAATCCTTTCTGATTTAAATGGGGAAAGGATTTAAATATATGGGACAAATGACGCCAGACTTGAATTTGGCATGCATGGTTTTTTGGGACAAACACGCCAAGAAAAACCCCTATTCAAAAATACCATATATCCGCAAATTAGAGCTCCCTCCCTGGAATGAGAACTCGAACGCAAACAGTCAAGATTTAATAACCAGCTAAAGAGTGTCCAGCCCTTTAGATGTGAATCCGTTCCTTGATCATCTAAAGAATGGTTAAAAATTGAAGACGAAGAAATTGGAATTTATGATTAGAGGTATCGACTGGAAATCCCACTCGACCAATCTGTACGTAATTTTCAGTCAGCCTCTGTTTAGACTTCGATGAATAAACAAATTTTTCATTCCATTCGACGCCGATTGCATATCACGAAATATCAATGGACATAGACTGACGAAAACGCATCATTTTTACATACGTCTTCCTTGCACATTGTGTCACCATCCTTTCCAAACAATGTGCCGCCATAATGAACAGGGAGTTGATTGGCATCGATGTACTTCAGAAGCTCACTCTTCCAGTTTCCTAAGGAGATTAGGCTACTGTTAGTAAAAAAACAAGTTTTTATGTTGGAAAAGTAGAGCGCAATGGAAAGCGAAATCAAAACAAAGAATCTCTAACAATGTTTCAAAGCTTTTATTGAGCATATTCGATTGTCTTTCGCAACTTTTCAAATTGATAACACCATATCGGAAAGCCAGAAACAAGTAACAGATAGCATAGAAACCAGAAAATAATACTATTTATCCATCAAAAACTCGGAAAAAGCAGTCGAATATATGTTTTTCAAGTTTCAGTATAAATAAGCTACATGTCATATTCAAGACGATAAGATTGTTTCAAAACAACTCCTTAACCTTTTAACAAAGATTGTCACTAACCTCCTAAAATTTTGATTTTTCTTTTTGTTTCATCGCTCAGGAATGGTTTTACTAATGCAAACAGGACCGGGAAAACTCTTGGTGCTAGAGAAATATTTTTTCGTTCATTAGAAATTTATCTGAGATTCAACAGATATAAAAGACAACACAAGGTTTGGCGAAAGTGGCTCCTAATTTAATCTTCCAAATTTGAATCGGCAGTCATGGAACTTGCTGTTCCCGTTTTCAGTGCTACGAGGCATTTGAATAGGGTTCAATTGATACATTACCCAGGGACCGCGCACCAATCTAAGAGTTGAGGGACTGAAATGGGTGTGACCGAACATTTTTTGAGGCCACGCCCTCAAGAACGCCGGGAAACCCCCCTTTTAGAAAATACTTTCTTACTTCCACTGAATTTTTAAAAACAGTCTGGTTTAGAGAGGATATCAATAACTATAAAAGGGTTATAAAAACCAAGTTAACCAAGTTAGAAAATACATCATATCATTAAACAAGACAAAACACCTAAAAATGAACAAAAAAGGTTTCCAGTCAAGAAGAACTGCTAATGCATAGGATTAAAGTATCCAAAGTTGCGTTATAGTGAAATTTTTAGGTTTTCTAGCCTGTTATTGCAAAAAGGAGGGGGGGCCATCGCTCCTGCTAGCCCAATGGCTGCGCGGTGCCTGACACTACCCTCTTTTATTTTTACATTAACTTAGGGATAGCTACGTGCCACCCTTATAGTTACTATCACATCATCAAATTGAATCGTTAAATAAAGGAACTGCCTATTGAGGAAGCTGTCTTATTCACATGAGAGTTGACTTGGTGCAAACAAAATATCATCTAGCATAAAACTTTATCACATTTTTGCTTGCATATCACAGACTTATTGACAATACCTGGCGACAGTAAAGTCCTTTATTGAAAATATCGAGCGCTTATAAGATTGCAGGATTTAAATGTTGGTAGTAAAAGAAAACATGAATTAGTTAATCAAGAGAATGCTATGTACAGTAGGGTAGGAGTGAAGTAGACGGCAAAAACGAGGGCCAACAGGCTGCCACTGGATATATAAGTGTTGAAAGTATACAGAAATAGTATTCATATTATCGGAGATATATAGTAATCTATCTATCAGAAACTTTTTCAACATTCACATTATCCAACCCAAAGATAAAGATATAGTGGAAAGACATAACACACTTTGCCTGCTACTCTCGAAATAATGAAAGGCAAGCAACCTACAATTTACAACGAATGTTTGCTTCATAAGATGCGGGTAATCGTCTTCAAACATAGTCGCAATCTGGAAAAAGAAATAGCATCTTATTAGCAAATTTGTATTTCAATTCAGCGACTGGTTTTACATTGAAAATATCTTTACGAAAAAAAATAAACTACTTCCTATATATTCCTAAATAATATCATACACAGCAGGTAGGCAGGTAGAGTGCATGAAATGAAAATATCTACCTCTTGTTGATCATGAAATTACTCCCCGCCCCTTGGGGACACAAATCTAACTGACAACAACTGACAATAGATGCAACTATATATTCATCAATATATGCTACTCTACTTTCGTCTTCTCTTTCTTTCTTTCTTTCTTTCTTCTTTCTTTCTTTCTTTCTTTCTTTCTTTCTTTCTTTCTTTCTTTCTTTCTTTCTTTCTTTCTTTCTTTCTTTCTTTCTTTCTTTCTTTCTTTCTTTCTGTCTTTCTTTCTTTCTTTCTTTCTTTCTTTCTTTCTTTCTTTCTTTCTTTCTTTCTTTCTTTCTTTCTTTCTTTCTTTCTTTCTTTCTTTCTTTCTTTCTTTCTTTCTTTCTTTCTTTCTTCCTCTCTTTCTCTTTTACACTTTCTTTCTTATTTATCTGCGTCCAAATTATCTTTGGAATTATAAGGTACAAATACAAATATTTAAAGATATATTTTAAACATAATGAAAATAGCGTTTTCAGATTACACTTAAAAAGCTACTGCTTCAATGCATACATAATGAACAACACAAAGAAACAGAAAAACGTACCGCGTTGAAAAGTCTGACACCTGAAAGAATAAGCAAACTATGATTGAATAAAGCCATTAAAAATTGAAAAAAACAAATCTATGCCGAACTTTTACAGACATTACCATCAATTTTACATAAAAAAGTGCAAAAAATAACACACAACTCGTACTAAACCAGTAGAGTGATTCAAATTAGTGTGTCTAAGCAAAAAATACAAGCAAAGGTGCTTCACAGAACGAAAAATGGCGAAAATTTTTATATAATTGGGCAAGGAGGGTCCGACTTTTCTCAAATCGGTGTGATAGACTCTGTAACCATAAAAACAATTAGCCTGATTGTGTTGGAATTTATATCAAAAAGAGTTTATTTCTTCTCTCGAATTATATGAAGTGTTAGCGGTCTCTGATTGGTTAAAAACAACGAACCAATCAAACGCGTCATTCTTCCCTTTACGTTAATTTTGACCCCTGTCTGACTATGAATTTCCGCCTACCTAGTAATCATTATAAGTTGTTTATTACTCTGAAGACTTTGTGGTACAAAAGGCTTATTCACAAAATTCTCAGAAAAAGTATTTTCAGCTGACGAGCAGATGGCTACAGTCAGCTGACGAGCAGATTGCTACAGTGCAAGCCTTCAACAGACTGATTTTGGTTAATCTTATAATGAAAATCTTGACATGAACTCTATCAAGTTCAAACACCAAACTAATCCTGCAATTGCATTGATAACACTAACCAGACAAAGATATTTAATTAGGCACAAGTAACAGCTAGTCATGGAGATCATCTTTGCAGGCAAATCACTGACAAAATTGATTTGAATCATTTTGATTGCCAATATTGTACACAGGCACATGCCTTTACTAGAATAGTGAATTCCTTGTTTCATAAAATTTTACTACAACTGCTTGTTAAATAAATATTAAATACAAGGTACAGCATAAAACAAGGTCTCTTTGAAACGTCTCCAGATATCTTTTTTATTACCATAGCCCATGTTACGTTTTTATTGAGGAAAAAAACATTCTTCTAGAGACAAAACAAGGACAGATATCTCAACGCAAGCTATTATGTCAATTGTCATTAACATATCTAGTTCAACTAAATGATGCGTGATATATGGTCTAACCCAATGATTTGATTCTGGAATTTAGAATAAAGTATGGTTAATTATCAACTGTAATTTCAGCAGAAAATAATAAATAAAAGGCAGAAAACAATAAGTGAATGAATGGGAATTGAAAGAGATCAATAATTATCCCCCATATTCTTCATCTTTGAAAAAGGCAAGGTTTACTTTAAGGAGGTTTAGACAAAAAGTCAAATAATCTGACTTTTATAATGATAATAACAATAATAATAATAATAATAATAAGAATGATAATCAATTTATTTACAGTAGGTGGGTACTACATAGCTGTACAATTTATGTAAAAGCTAATTCAGGCCTACTTTACAAAAAATTTAGAATAAAAAGTAATTAAGAATGAATAATTAATAATTACATATATAAAACAATTAGTTAATTAGTGAAAGATATGAAATTTAAGATTGAAAAAAACTTTTTTTTAAATTTAAAACGCGTTTATAGTTAAAAGATGTTTTAATATTTTCACAGCAAGACGATGTTTTAATATTTTAACTATTTTCTTTATTTTCTAGTCAAGGAATCCAACCTGAGCTACATAGCATCTACATAATTTGCAACAACATTCTTCTCCTTTCCATTTTTTTATCTGATTTATGTGTGTATGGAAACATGCACTTTTTGTCGAGGGCATTAAACAGTAAATACTGTTCTTTCCTTAGCTTTGAAAAAGGTAAACCATTTTGTCATAGTTAGTTTGTTGATAATCATGTTTTAAAATGCTACCATACCTGGCTTCCACATATGTTTTAGACCAAGGCCATGCAAATCAAAAATCAATGTAGTCTGATTGATATTCTTCTGAAGCTAAAAGGTTTGAAACTGTATTATTACATAAAACTTAAAAGGTAATATACAAAAAGGTAATAAAAACGCTCTTTGGATTAACTTTTGAAGAAATGAAACAAAACCAAATCACCTTTTCAGATTGCTCTTTGCATAACTGTATTCCTTGTTCTGCTATAAACATTCTCGTTCTCAGAATGTCATCTCCCTTCACAGAATGAAGAAGGCCTGTAAAATAAAAATTCATACAAAATCATTTAATACAATAAAAATAAGGTGATACATCATAAAAAAGCAGTAGCGGTGCCACAGGGGAACTGGGGGGATGTGCCCCCCCAGTTCTCAGCAGAATCGATTTTGTATTTCGTCTAATTTTGGTGAGAAAATATTGGGGGAGGGGTAATATTTTGACACCATACTTTTTGTGATGTAATCCTTTGATTTTCAAACTGCCAATTTTCAAACAAAAGTCATAGGCGTTCACTTTGAATAAAATTGGCGTTTCTTGTTGGTAATAGGGTGTTTTCTGGTGGTTAAAAGGGCATGGCTTAATTTTTTTTGGTTTGTCCCCCCTCCCAGAGCTTAGTGGCTGGCGCCGCCATTGTAAAAAAGGAAACATTTAAATCAAGTTTTATTACAAAACTAAGTAAACAGAGGCTTGTGGATTACTGCTTAAAAAATCCTGATTCATCTAATAAATGTTAACAAAAGCAAAATAGATATCTTAGAGACCTTCTTTACCTTTGAAATCAATCATTCCAACTGGATCAATGAAAACTGGACTGCCATGTTTATCAAACCCAATATACCCTCCAGGATAATACTTCTTTATAACCTATAATATATAAAAGAGAATGGATTTTGATATCAAATAAAATATATACAAAAAACCCTCAAGTTGCTTGATGGCCTCATAAAGCATGAAATTTGAAATGGCAACTTAGAACTGTCCTGTTCTACAGACTGAAACATCAACCCATAGAGAAGTGAAATTTGTTGTTGTATATTTAAGCTGTTATAATTTTTGTAGCCATTTGAAGTAATATTTTAGATGTAGCAATTTTAATTAACCATTTAAAATTACGATGTTTTGTTTTGTTGCAATAAATTTAGGGCCATTTTGGCCTATACATCTATTATAATATATTAAGATATATAATATGGCATAACTGGGAAGGTGACTAGGCACAAATGCACCACAAGTAAACATTCCACAATTTTAGAGTTTTTTTTATAAATAGATTTAGCATGAGAAATAGAAACTTATTCAATAAGTGGGTAAGGCTATAATTCAATTGCTCAGAGCTCTATAAAATAAACTAAAACCTTGGAAGAAAAAAACTTTGTTTTGTCATTTTTCTCTTGCACAAGATAACCCCAGGATGGGTGTGTATTCATTTTTGTAGTAAGATTATGTTTAATGTATTATCAGAAAATATATGGCAATATCAAATTATATCTCCTCCAGAAATAAAAACTAACAACAAGACCTCGTTGAAGAAGTATCAATGTTGAAAAAAATGTAATGATAGAAAATTGCTTTGTGCAAAGATCTTGATAGGATTAATCAACTGGTAAATCCCTTTCAGATTCTTCTTTAAGATGCCATAGCTTTGGCAAATACTAAGATTAGCGCAAGTGTAATGTAGAGCATCTTACATTTTGAAATGAAACCACCTTCATAATAAATTATGCATGATATCAATAGTGGAATTGTTTTTTCAGATTTAAATCAATGCATTATTTAAATTGGCATGCTCTTTGTCTGCCATAACATTAGTTAAGCTTCAAAATTAACACCTATTATGTTGAGAATAAAAATAACATTTTATTTCTTGACCAACACCATAGCACTTAACTCGACAGCAGGTGAAAAGAAGAGTTTTTAGAGATGAAAGCTACATCAATATATACATATAGTAGCGAGTGCTATGTCTTTTTAATGCAAGGCAAGCCCCACTTATTCTAACAGAAAATGGATTTCAAGTAAGTTTGCAATGTATCACTTCCAACATTTGTTTCAACATTATTATCATGAAAAGGCTTGCGCTGCATTAAAGGCCAAAATTTTTAAACTTACCAAAAAAGTGGCAGTGATTCTCTTCCTTAAAAATCTGAATTAAAGCAGTGGCGGCTCTAGCCTGGGATAAATGGGGGGACAAAAGGTGTGTCAGAGATCATGCCCTTTTGGACCACACCCTATTTCCCCTGATTGAAACATTTTCTTCTGCAGGATACAACTCTTGTCTCCCAAGAAATGTCCTTTAAATGTGATTATCTAGATAACATACATTTTCCTGCCCCCACCTCCCCCCCTCCAAGTTTTCTCATCAGGTTTGTAAGAATCTGAAGGACCAATTTTCTGAAAAAAGTGAAAAAAGACTAGTCCCTCCCATCACCCCCCTGGCTCTGCCACTGAATTAAAGGCATTATGTCCCAACGCATTTTGCTTGCCATTTAAATTTCTCATTGGTTGGCCAACACAATAGACCAAATGTTACGCATCCAATTAGAACATAACCCTAATTTGCAATGTTTTCTTGATCACAAATGTGCTGCAAAGCCTATTGTTAGCCTTGAACTTTGGAATGATGGAACAAAGTGCTTTTATGATTTCTGGACAGAGCTTTGGAATTTTGTTGCTCAAATCTCATATTCAAATCTGCAGGATATGGCAGATGCACCACTGGAATAAGTCAAATTTGAAATTTCATGCTAAATTAGCAGTTGTAACAATACTGAGAAAATCATTCATGCCATATGACCAGTTGCTCGCCTGCTGTGCATATGCAAGACAATGTTCTCTCAAGAAGAATCTCATACCATGACTCTGCATTATCTTGGAATGTTTAACCAGGTGGTAGTGATTATTCCATTCCCCTTTTTTCTTATTCTCATTCACAATTTATTTTCAAGCTATTACTGTTTAGTTTTTATGCTTCATGTCTTAAAACTAAGTTTTATATCAAAGAAAACGAGAAAGTTATTAATTGAGAAAATTATCAAACTACCGAGAACTATTTAGCTATAGCATTCAACTAATGAACTCAGGTATAACACTTTTTCAGATAGCATTCTGATTTTTCATAGAGTAATTGTAATTATACCACGTATAAAAAATCAGCAGAGTAAAAGATATGATTTACTAAATAATCAAGATGAATTTATACCTCTGGTGGCGTATATTCCTTCAAGATGTCAACATTTGTGAATCCAAGTCTTGCTTTCCAGTCTGTGTGAGGCATGTTGGATTCTACAGCAAACAGAAATTTATTTCTTTCTAAGTTCTTAACCCTCTGGTCTACTAGCTGAATTTTGATCGACCTTGTTTACGTTTCTGGACAGGTGCTGAATTGTTTCGGCATTCCGACGGTTGCAATCAATGTATTTACAACTATTTGTTTACAACCTATATATATGGGTATTTTTCGCCTTGTTTACTTCTGAATCAAGGTTGCATGGACAAAACCTCTGGCTCGGTGGAAGGTTGCCGTAACTTACACTCTTTTTAACTTTTTTATATCTACAGCAGTAATTTAACCATGCTTCTCTTCGTTCGATTTGTAGACAATTTGCCACCTTCTCCTACCATCTCCACAGCTCTAACAGGAAGTGGGCTGGAATGTCGGATTAAAAGATTGCGGATAACTCGAAAAGGAGGTCAGTTAAGCATGGTAACATTCCCACGTAAACACAAAAATGAAAAATGTCACTTCGTTTGATACCAGTTGAGCTAGCTACGCAAAAATGGGCTTAAATGCTTCGTAATTGCACAATCTCGCAGGTTGTGAATGTTGTAATGAGAAAAAACTACGGCGGATTTTTTTGGTCTGGTTTAGTCATTTACACGTAACCTCCGCAGCGAGATTAGATGAGATGAAAGTTCTTATTCTTGCGCGATTGACAGCTGCAAGTGGCAACAATTCAACTGCTTGTAGGATAAGGTACATTTCTTTAGTATTTTTCATCCCTGGCAGCTCGTACCTCATGCCTCAATGTTTGCAGCTATGCTCAGAAGAAAGCATTTTTCTAAGCTGGAGCATGGGAAATATCAGAACCTCCCACTCATTGCATCCTTCAACAATATGAATGCCGTCTTGACAGCCATGGATAGTCATTTCATTCATCAATTTAAAGTTAACTATAATATTAACAATTTTTTCTATCTTTTTACAGAGAACATTTGTTGTCTGGAGGATTTGAAGTATCAGCTGTGTGTGTTTCTTATTTTCAAAAATACCATGAATTGGCTGCTTATGTTTCTTCTAATGCCATAGATTTCATTATTGGAATCCATGCATTTAGAGCAGGGAAACTTCTTTGCGGTAATCCTTTCAGTTTACAATCAATTGCTAGTCAGAAAATGTTGATTTATTTGTATAGGTACTGTATATGTTGCTACCTAGCAACAAAATCTAGTTGACTGTAATGAAGTGTTACCCATACCTCAATTAATTTACAACATTTTATTAACTGATTATAACTTCCTATCATATCAGATCTTGTAGTTTTCTATGCTGCTTCCTATTTATTATTCTTTGTGAAATCTAATTACAAACTGAATTCACAGCTTTTTGCAAAGGGAATGCAGCTGGAATCATGCTACTTGCTTTTATTTGAGGTTTATTTTATTCAATAATGCTCTTATTCGAGGCTGATAGATCATTTTATTTATTTTAGATTGCAAAGTACCTTATGCCATCATATTTGGAGGGACAGACTTGAATGAGCATCATAAAGATAAAGAAAAATTGTTTTTCATGAGCAAAGCTGTATCAAAAGCAAGGTTGGTAAGATAAGCAAATTTTGATAAAAAGTAGTCACTGTCACAGCAAAAATATTTTCTTGCACACTCTCCATTGATTTAAAAATGATAATTCCATTTTCAGATTAGTAGCAAGATGATGATAAGGGTCATTCTTGTTTTCTTATGTATGCTGTTTTTGCTGCCTTAGCAATTCACGTTACTGTATTTCAAAGTTTCAGGAAATTGTCCCATACATTTTTAAGTCTATAAGTTCTTGTATAAGAGTCATATGGTCTAAGTTTTCATGATCTTGATGTCAAAGCAGCATCTAAATTTTTGTTAAAATTACCTGCAGGAAATGTGTTGCATTTAATAATGCTATGAAGCAGAAAGCAATTTCTTTTTGGGTATGTACTGAAACTGCCTTTCCTCTCAGATATTGAATTTAGATTTTCTTTTAGCTACAGTGGTGATGATCTTTTGGTATTTGTTATTCTTCTTGTCAATGTACATTAACCTTAGAACAATGCAATGATAAAGAGTATCATTTTTTGGATTCACTATCATTTTTTTCATGTCTGTTGTCAAATGCTACCAAATTTGTTATTGACAGAAAGCAGAAAAAATTCAGTGAAGATTATCCACAAGCTCTCTAAAGAATCAGAAATCTAAAACAACAAAGATATTTCTTTATTTTTTTTAATAAAAATTAGGCATATGTTATAATTATCTCTAGGAGGAAGCCAAAGACAAAGTAATTGTTCAACCACAAGGTGCAAAATACTACTTTTACTTGTATTTTGTGGTAGCATTTTTTGGGAATTTTCATCAAAGGTGAAAAGTCTTTTTACTGATGCAATGCCAGTTTCTCTCACAATATGACAAAACTTCTTTTTTGTAATATTAAGACTTACTTATGACCAGTGACTTATTCTGTAGTATTAAGACTTACCTATACTTACTAATAAAGTCATCAAAATCATCAAAATATTTGTGCTGATTTTTTATGCCCATATATCTTCTTGCAGCTGTGGAAGTTCATGTTTCAGACCAGACCTACCACATTGGTGCAAATCTTTCAGACTGTAAGTCAAGGAAAATTTTTTGTTCATCTCTTTTTTTAATTTTTTCCATGGCACTTGCAACTTGTAATGAATTTTAAAAGAACCACCAGTGACAAAACCATGTAATTGTCAACGATTGTGATCACTGTTCCTGAAATGAAAGGGGTACATAATCCCTTTGCCTTCTAAATGCTACCTCTATGTCACATGTTTTTGTTCTTAATCAAAAACAAGTACATTTTAGCTTCCCAACATTGTAGCAAATTACTATCTAGTATGCTGTTTTTGGATTTGCCAGGGTTTCCATATTTTTATGTTTTAAAACTTTGATAGGGCAACTTTGATTCTTTACAGTCTGTAAGTTTTGTCATTATCTATCTTAGGGGAAAAGGAAGTGATTCTTAACAACAATGCAGTGAGTCATTTTGAAAAGGAAGTTCAAATTTTCTGCATAATATTAATATATATAATATAATAATATTATTCTGTTAATTTGAATAATACATGCCAGGTCATAATAAACTGATGCTAACAGGATCTTGGTGGATATATTTATAAAAATTGCTGTAAAATGAAAAGGAAAATAACCATTAGTGGAGTAGCATTTTATGGGCTAAAAGACTACATTTATGCCAAAAAGAGATATGGAATGGAAGGAAGAATTTTTCACATTAACTAGAGAAAATTGGTCATTCTTTTTCCAGAAAATGCTTTTAGAAATTTTCCTTAAAAAACAATGAAGACATGTGGGTTCTAGGCTTGATGCTTTTGTTTTTTTTTTGTTTAAATTTAATCTTTCTCTCACTTTTTCTGGACTCTATGATACTAAGCTATTTCTTTCATTTTATATTCTGACTTTTTGATAATTATTGCAGATAATTTTCTTATTGGTTGCAAGTCTGAGACCCGTAAAAGATCCTTTTTACTTGGTGGAAACAATTGCTGGTAATTTTCTGAGCATATTTTTCCTCTAAATCTCTAAATTGGTACTCTCATCTAAATTGGTACTCTCATCCAAAATGATTAAAGCATTCATATAATAATCTGCCAGAAATGGAAATGCAAAACAAAAGATACAAATGTGTTATTCCAATAAAGAGTCTTAATTTTTTGCTTATATTTATTAAGTCTGTAAGCTAAGATATTTTTGAAATACTGACACAGTTTTCTTCCAAATGGGAGTTTCATTTGAAAGCTTTGCATTTGAAAGTCTACCCATTTTCCCTTATGACACTTCAAACTACCACCCCTGCTCTTGTTGCTTAAAGGACATATTTAAGGGGAATAATTCACAAAGTACAGTTGTTTATACTTCCGCTTGATATGAACACTATAAAATAATGAGGCTATAAGAAATTGTCAGTATTTTGCAACTTTGCTTTTTAATGCTATAATACTTACATGTCACAAAATCTGCTTTCATTATAACCATGCCCATGACCACACCTAATATGGTTCTGTTTGCGGCAAACAGATTGGCCACATCCCCTCCAATGACCCTCGTTAGCCACAGCCCTGGATTTCAGTGATGAATTTGGAAATGGTTTATAATGAGATAGGTATGGATCTATGATGATGTTGCCGTTTCCAAGGAACATATTTGGTAAAAGATTCTACATAGAGAGTTGCACAGAGAGTCTATTATTATTTGCAAGGCTCTCTCATGTTGTTCAATTTTATACGTTCTAGCATGGCATAAAGCTGATAATAGGATACATTTAGTTGTTGTTGGACCAGAGGTACGTTAAAATTTTGGATTTGATAATAACAATACCCAAGTATTGCTCTTTCAATACAATTTGCTCTTTTTCCATGTTTTCATCCTTTTTCCTTCTTGTCTTCTCTTTGCTTTTTATTTCTTCTTTCTTGTGTGTTCTCTCTCTCTTCTTTTCCTTCTTTCATTCTCTTGTCTTCTTTCCCTTCCCTTTTTTCTTGTTCCATATTCTTTTCTACTCTTCTCTACTCTGTCATGAGATGGGAATGTTATGTAAAAATGTATGTAAAAATGAATGTTATGTAAAAAAGAACTTGTCAATCGGCCTCAAAGATGTAATGCTTTATTTTTGTCATATTCTAATCTTTTCCATTGGTCTATGATATATCATTGTCATGAAATAATTTCTTGAGGATCATAGCAGTCCTGCTCTGCTTCCAAACAAAATTAAATATTTGGCTGATCCTCACTTGTAAAAAGTGATGCCTTGAATGAAACTGATTGTTGTAGTTTTCTTTTTTGTATTGTTAATTGAGTCCTTATAAAAACAATTTATTAACATATTTCAATGAAGTTTTGCAATTAATTTGTAATTTCAGATTGACATCAGATACTCAAAAGAGTTCAAGGACTCGGTAACAAAGTAAGACTTTACTTCTCAATGAAATCATACCCAGAATGCAGAAAAATTATTACTGCAAAAAGACGGTTTCTACCATATAAGAAAGTTTTTAATTTTTTTGCTCCCTTCTTTTCTTTTCGTCTTTTCATTTCTTCTTTTCTTCTCTTATGGTCTTTTCTCTTCTTTCCTGTGTCTTGCCTTTCCCTTTTTTTCTTCTTTGATACTCTTGTCTGCATTTCTTTCTCAACTTTCTCATCCGTATTTTGCTCTTCTTTTCTACTCATGTCCACTCTTCCCTTCTATTCATTAATCTTCTCTGCTCTTCTCTGCTCTTCTCTACTCGTCTCTACTCTTCTCTATACTCTTTTATTCGTTTTTACTCTTCTTTTCTTTTATACTCTTCTCGTCTCTACTCTTCACTTCTCGTCTCCACTCTTCTCTATACTCTTTTACTCTTCCCTACTCTTCCCTACTCTTCCCTACTCTTCCCTACTCTTCCCTACTCTTCCCTACTCTTCCATACTCTTCCCCACTATTCTCTACTCTTTTCTACTCGTCCATACTATTCATTAGTCCTCTTTGCTCTTCTCTACTCGTCTCTGCTTGTCTCTGTTCATCTCTGCTCGTCTCTACTCTTCAATATACTCTTCTAAATACTCTTTTATCCTTATCTACTACTCTTCCCTACTCTTCTCTACCCTTCCCTACTCTTCTCTACTCTTCTCTACTCTTCTCTACCCTTCCCTACTCTTCTCTACTCTTCTCTACTCTTTTCTACTCTTCCCACTTCTTCTCCATTATTTCTTGTCAATCCCTACTCGAGGTATTTCTGTCACTTCTCGCGTTTACTATTAACGCTTCCTGTTAACTTCACAAGACATGTAAATTTTTGTATTACCTATGTTTCAGCACTCCTGGCATTATTTGTATTGATAGACAGTCTCCTGCAAATCTTCAAAGTTTGATAACGAGAGCATTTGCGCTAGTGAACACATCCAAAAGTGAAGGCATGGCTGGTGCCATCCTTGAGGTACATGTCTTCAAACCCTTCTCTTATCATTTCTGTGGCTCATTCGGTGCAGTGCAGGCACACCAATGATACAACCCAGGAACACTAAATATCCAAAACTGCAAACATTTTGAATCCTGAATTCATGCAAAAATTTTTTTGAGCTAAGAACCTCGGATCGACCCTCACGTCGTCCACAAGACCTGCAGCACTACAGGCTCAACCAAAAAACTTTTGGTTCAAACAGCCTCAGGTCTCTCGGACAACAAATTTGGAATGGCTTACCACAGGACCTGATCCAATTCAAAAGATTAATTAAAAACTGGGACGGGGCTACCTGTACATGCAACGTATAAAATATTGAATGATTGTATTGTAAATTTGTATTTAAAAATTATCAAAAATTGTTAATTCGTATATTTTGTAAATAATCGAATTAGACAAGTTACTGTGCTGTAGCTTAAAATCATATCTGATTTAAGATAAGACCACAAACAAACCCATTGCCTTGTTACTAAGACTCTAAGCAAATGAAACTCCAATTACAGCTCTTCTAAATATAATATTTGTTTAGCAACACTCGAAACGATCCCCTCTAAAAGAATCCTTGCTATGCACTTATCACACACAGGATGCATTTTTTTGAAACCAGATAAATCTGCAATAGTATTGTATGAAATTGAGGAATAAATCTGTCATCTTTTTGCTGATTTTCTGTCACACAGGCAATGAGCTTGAGGGTACTTGTGCTTGCAAGATGGAATGATGGAAATGCTTCAGTCATAGAGCACAGAAAGACAGGACTGTTATTCACAAAACCTGAGGTATTTCACGAAAAAGCTTGCTCTTCAATGTTACTTTGCTCAAAGTGTTTGTCACAGTGTTACCCATCAATTAGTCATGGATAATCTGGAAAAAATGTTTCATTCACAAAAAAAAAAGACAAATTACATAGAAGAGAATATTTCCAAAACTACTTACTGAAAGCTTTCAGAGGTCTGAATTCTTTTCAATGTTGCCTTGAAAATTTTTGTACTTGAATTCAAAGGTAATTTTTCGTGGCCATAAATAATTATTTGAAGTAATGCTGTATTTGAAAGGTTTGTTAATCGATGGGGTTGGAATGTCGCCGTCACATTGTCGAGATTATCACGTCCATCTGTATCATAAGCATGGCAGAGTGGCAGAGTGTTTCGTAACCTATACCAGCATTTACTGGGAGTAAAGGATTTAAGGATACGCTTTTCGTCTAACACTCTTCAAGGAATATAACCTCAGAATATTGATTGAAACTTTAAGCTAACTGCTAGAATATATATACACAGTTTTGGATAGAACATTCCCAATTAGTGCCGCTTGCCTATTGAAAATATTACTAATGGATAAAAGGAACTCATTCTGTCTACAGAACAACAGCTTTTCATTTTCATGTACACGGATTCTAAACACGAATTGAATTTAAATGAATTTAAACTGTACTTTTAAGATTTATTTATGGTTCAAGTAAGGTACTGCTGTATGGTAAACACATTACCTTTTATACCTTCAAAATGGTCGTGGAAATCTACCTGAACATATCGAAACCTATTTCATGTCGAAACCTATTTCAGAGTTTCCGTTCTTGCGAGACTAACGGTTATTAATAGGCAAAAAGGTATCGATGGTTTGGACACGCCATGACCCTCGAAGTTTGTATATCGCCAAAAACCTTCTACATTCGATTTATCTCCAATCATCGCCAAAAACCTAGTGCATTTAATTTATATCTATGAAACTAAAATATAAAAACTGTTTGCTTTGTAATTAACTCGTGACATCCTTCTTATTTTGATAAATTTTCAGTTTTGGACGCTTTTAACACTATATTTTGCTTTCCAACAGGAGTTTAGGAGTCTCGCTGAAGAAGCGTTATCTGATGAAAGCCTCAGATGCAAGCTGATTGACAATGCTAAGAAATACATTTGTGATCAGCACTCTTTTGAAAAAGAGCGTGCTGTTTACTGTGAGTTAGTACAGTCTTTAGCTGAAAATGAAGCGAAGTAAATAGAATCAGGCCCGTAGCTGGGGTTTTTAGGGGGAAGTGGTCCTCTTACTTTCGTGGAGAGTGTCAATGCCTGTTGACACTGACTGAGGGTATTAGAACCTTAGAGCCCTTAAATACTTGGTCTTAGAGTCTAAATGATAGAAGGGGCACACCCTTTGCTTCTTCTCTGGCTACGGGCATGACTGGTAAATAGTTTTAAAGTTCTATTGAAAAAATCAGAGCTATTTTTTATGCGGCGAAATCAGCGACAAAGCCAGGGCTTAAAATTACGAAATTTTACAATTTGTAAAAGTTGGTATAGATTTGATATCGATAATTACCTTTCGATGTGGTTTTGCGATTGTATTTGTTTATATGTCATATTTTATAAATATTGTATTTTGCGAAAAGAACTCTGCTAGGGATAGTACCTAAGTAGCATTTTTTCTTTGTAGCATTTAAATTAAGAATCAAGACTCTTACGATCAAACCCTTTTGCTGTCCATATATTGAAGGGAACTGTATAGTTTTCAACTCCCAAGGATCTTAACTGTCTTGTATTATACTCAAATTGATGGAATCAGCTTGTTATTTAGCCAACTCTATTTATTTCTAGAAACAAAGTTTATAGATCTTGTGTGTAACATTATATTTGAAAAATATATATTGGCAAGGTTCCATTCAATCAGTTGCAAGTACATCTCTCTCCTACAGTACCTCAGTACCTTTTTGTGTACTCACTGGGGGTGATGGGGGCGGGGTTAAAATTTTCCTTCCATTCTGGGTGACATTGTTCTGTTATCTCAATAGAATACTGTCCCCTTTTTGCAACATAAAATATTTGACCCCCCTCCCCCCAACTAGCTCAAGCATCGTAACAAGCTATATAAGGCGATTGCAAGGCCCTTAATGCAAGGGGGTAGTGCTATCGATAAAATAGCAAGAATTTGAATTAGAATAGCAAGAACAGGTCACAATGACTAGGAACATCTAAACCCTTGTCTCGAAGTTCCGCTTTCTTTCAATGATCAGAAGGCACAGTCCTGAATGTTTTGCTGACCCTATTCCATTAACATTGTCTTCCTCAATATTATATTAGTAAAGCTCTTAGTTTCTCGTTCATAGACTTAGAAACCGGAGACACGTCTATGCTTATATAATCAATAGTATTAACAGACATACACTACATCAAATAGTCTTGTTAGTGCCAGAGAATTGTGTAAGTGCGAACACAGTTGCTGGTTGGTTTATTTAAAGCTTTTAATGACTTATAAATTTAGTAGAATGAATGTTTGAGAAAAGATAAATCATGTCGTGTTGTCATTATTGTCTGTACAGTTGCCTTGCTTTTGCGGCTCCATTCGCCTCAAAGCGTTCATCTGCTAAATGTCGCTAGCAGTTTATGTTAGATTTGGGATTGCAATTCCTTAGATTGGGTATTTAACTTCAGTTTGCTGAAAAATCTAAAAAATATTTAGGCAAGAGTATGGATTTTAACATAATTAAAGGGATGATGGGCGAAATTTTGTAACTTGTATCATTTTTCCAAGTATATTTTTTCATTATCATTTGAATTTCAGATGTTCATAGAGAGTATATTCACTTCAGCAAAATAAATTGTCTTTATAGTTCTCTCCTTTCTCATTCAAAAATTCGGGTTTGTTAACCCCTTCTATTATACATATTATATATATGTTTCTTTGCAAGCCATAACCAAATGTTTCTTTGCTGTCAATCCTCGGATTGTTTACAGCACTAGGAGAGCCCTTCCATCCATTCAAAAGGATTGCGTTCCTACCAAACAAAAAAGTTCCGTCATTTATGAATTTACGTGCCAGTGTGATTCTGGCTACGTAGGACGCACAACCCAAAGATTGGGGGATAGGATAAAACAGCATGTTCCTTCCAACATATGAAACAAAACTGCCCCTCAAAGAGAACAGC